GCGGGGTCGACGCGAGCAGCGAGTTATCGCTGTTTATTCCGCCCTGCGGACTGCCGATCCGACCCCTCGGGCCCGGGGGAGGCTGCAGGGAGGCCGTTTTTCTCACGCCGCGTTTAGCGGGAGGTGCCGCAGGTACCGCACACGTGATGCGAGCGCACACCGCCCTCGCCCCCGCTGCAGCGGACACCGGGAGGGTTAAGCCCCCTCCCTCTGCGCCCGCGGAGGGGTGAGTAAGGCGTGTGGAGTCTAATGACACACTGTATTTCTCTGTTACAGGCGTGGGTTGGTCGGTGGGGGCTAAAATGCAAAAAAGCTATGCGAGATGATGAGGCAGACGGCGCTCAGATGGGTATTTTGGAAGAAAAAGGCAGATTCTCATCCCCGTTTTTGTTGGGAAGTTCCGGAGCTAGTGTCGGTGAGCTGGTTTAGACAATGATGAACCAGCGTGGGTTTTAGGCTTTTATAAAGGTGAAAATAGTGCAAGGAAAATTAAATATCTGGAGAATTGAAATAAATTATGGAGGCCAATTAATACCGCAGGGGAGTGCAACATAGCTTCGGTATAGGAACGAAGGCAAATCGGTGTTGGATTGGGAGAAGAAGAAATACGGCAGACGTGCTTTGGAAAGCAATAACATGGCTGGGAGACCCTTGCAGCTCAGGCTGGAGTGTGGAAAGATTCCTGGAAAATGCTAAAGGTTGGGTGTTGTCTATTTTCCTTATTCAATCCTTAGAACTTAATTTCCAAACCTGCGCCTGGAAACATCCATTCCTAAGGCATGTATTAAAAAGGAAAAAGGAACTGGTGCGATAAGTGCCTTTTGGTGAGAGTGTTTTGAAGAGGATTTGCTGGCTACAGTCACGTGAAGCTTTTTACTTTGTGTGGTGAGAGACACTTTAGATTATGGGCAGTTGGTGTGGAGGAATGTTTATGTAGGAAATGTGTGATAGTCCTGTGGTTGACTGCAGAAAGTACAATATATTGCCACTTGCCATAATCAAAATCTCATTTTTTTTGCTCTGCAAACAAACTATTGGTGGATAGAGAGCGGTAATGCTTAGGCAAAGACTGCCTTGGCCAGTTTGGGGTCTGTGGCTTTTATGACTCTTGGGCTTCTAAGAAAATAAGCAAACCACTTAGAATTGTGCTTCTTTTTTGTAGTGACTCATCCTAAGGGCATCCTACACAGTCAAAGACCAAATGTCCTCCAAATTTACCCCAGTTTTGTTTGCGTGGCAAGTTCGTATCCTGTTTGGATCTCTGCTGTGGCCATAGAATATTGTAGCATCCTGGCCTGCAACGTAGACTTGTAATCACTGTGTGAATACTGGTTACATGTTCACGGTAACAGGATGGCTAATATAATTTTATAAAATAAACTCCTTATCAGTATTCATTGCCTCATAGCAATTCCTCTCTTGTTCTCATCTTTCTGTCTTTTCCATTGGTTTTCCCAGGATCCTGTGTGAGCTTCCGGGTTGGATATGCTAGATAAATTTCAGGTTGCGTGCCCTAGATGTACATTCGGTTAAACCTTTAGAAATACCAGTGGTATATACGTTGATGTTGAGAAATCCATGAGTATATCTGTTATGTGCAGGGAATTTTTACAAGATGAATTAATAACATTGCAGACAAGCATTCCTAACTTCTGCTTGCAAATTCTCACTTATTAATATTAATGACCATAAATGCAAATGGTTTAAGGCCCAAATATGTATCACACACAGCATTATGCACTCTGTACTCTGAGTTTTGCGAGTATGGGATAATGTATATTTCCAGAAGAACGCTTTGCTGCCAGACCTTCTTGTGACACATTTAAGTTATTTATACTAAGTATTCATTAGTTTATAGTCTGGTATTTTGTTTAATTTCAGGATGCTTGTTAAAATTCAAAGTAGCGTTTCTTACTTTTTTGTTAGACTGCAAAAGAAAACAATAAGAAGGAAGCCAGAAAACTAAAGCAACCCCTTAGTACATTAAAAACAAAAAAGTTGACTTGTGACCCTCCCAAATTTGTGCATGGTTTTTCTCATTAGAAAAAGAGAAGGATTATGTCCTTCCTTATGTTTTATCAAGGTGTGCCTTTTCTGGAGGTGGTTAAACGTGAGAGCCTGGTAACACCTGTAATCCATGTTTCGCACTATTAAAAAAAAAATTCTGCTTTGAAATTCTTTCAAAAGCAAAAGCCTTATTTCTTGTCTCTTTGTTGTATAAGCATTGATTGTTTCAGCTTTTGAGAGTGAATTTTCTTTAGAAAACAATGGTTATTTCCTTTGACATCCAGACAAGCAAATGGCTTTGAGTGTTGTTTCTTTATGAGGTTAGGCAGATTTTCAGTAGCGCCGAACTGGTAACCTCTCACCCCCGTTCTCCCACCTGCAGCGTCGTGGACCCTCTGACAACTATTTATTTTGTGGAGTTCATTTCTTGCTGGATCAACAAACTGAAATTGACCTGTAGAACGTGGAAGTGACAGGAGGAGGATGCAGGAGTAGGAAATAGACCAGCTGGGTTTATCCTTTATGGCAGCTGTGAGCTCTCTGCGTGGTTGATGCCAGTTGGGAACTTGTGTCTGGAGTATTGCACAAAGCCTTAAAACGGCACCTTTTGGTGTACAGAAAGTGAATGGTTTATGTTTAATACTCCACAAATACTCACAGTCTTGCGGCCTTTGTTATGTCATTGGTTATAACCCTCGCAGTCAGCCTGATTGGTAATCGGGTTGTTTTGCACTTTGTTTCCAATGTGATAAAATATGTGCCCACCTCTAGGAATTCTTTCAGCTTCCTTAGGACATGTGAAGCCCTGTGGTGACGTAGGACACGGTGACATTGCCAGTAAGGGCTTTGGGAGGTTACCGTGGTCATTGGTGATAACAGAACTGAGCCCGCTGGTTGTTTTTGAATCTTGTAGTTCAAGTCTTCAACTGAAACATGGCCCTGCGTGAGCTACTGCGAAGAAAATTAGCCCAGCCCAGAATGGCACCTTCATTTTAACTTGAAGGTGGAGAATGCGCCCGTTGCACTCACTGGAGATAAATTAGTGTTTGAAGCTCACTACACCTACCTACAAGTACTTTATCCAGTGAACTGAGTTATTTGTCTCTGGTTTATTTGCCAGCTGGATTTTATGAGCTTGGAAAAACCAAATTCTAATTATGTTACTTAGAATTGTTCCAGTCCCATTACTGTATGGGTCTAAAATGCAATTGTTTGTTTTACATTAATTTAAAAAGTAATTACTTTAAATACAAACCTTACATTACTTAGAGGAAATAGCACTTGTTTTGTGGACTTGCATTAGAAAGGTTATTTAGAGCCCAGCCTTGGAATTATCCCTTGCGAAGATGTCCCATCTCAGGGTACCTCGAGTTTCTGCTTCCGCAGCCTATCATGAAAGGATCTAGTTTAGCAAGGATGCTGGACACATTGGAAAGGAATTCAGCGTGGAATTACCTGGATTCTGATGAGAGTGCAGAAGTTACTTTGCTAGGTTGTGAATAAAAATGCTCTGTGTTCTGGGTGCTGTGGTAATGGGACTATGGTGTTTCAGTTCCTCAGGAAGAGAAATCTTTGAATAATCTGTTGAGTTCCCTGAGCAGCCTGGCTTTCTTCCTGCGTAGCATTTATTCCCTGTCTTTCCAGAATTCATCAAATAACAGAATTTATACTGTGGCATGAGAAACTCTATATTGAAAAATACTCTGTGAGAGAACATCAATTAGTAATGATAAAACATTAAAAGTACCATGTGCTTATTTGACTCAGCTTTGGGTTTGTGCCATGTTGTGTCATTATTTGATTTGAAGGAATCATTACTTATTCACGGCTTTTATAAAATGTATGCAATAGTTGGGTTTCTATGTATTCTGCATAAAGAAAACTTTGATCCAAGTTTCGCTTCCTCAGCAATTTTTGTAAGATTTTGATGAAGTTTTTTCCTGCTCTGAGTGGAGGGCTTATTTACTAAAAATGTTGCTTTTCTTGAACTTAAAATTTGAGTAGCTTTCTTTTCCCTTTCCTCTCCCGTCTGTCTGTCCTGTTGCATTGTAAAGAAGAGGATTATTTAGCTTTACTGAAGAAGTAACCTGAGGTAGGAATCCTTTAAGAGCCAATTTGGCAGAGGCGCATGCAGATACTTGAGGAACACACAGGATCTGGGTGAGTTCATGTTACTATTCCTATACGGGCAGGTCTCTGCACGCCGCCAGAGCCCTGGTGCTGCTGAGGAGTGATGTTGTGTGAGCTAGGGAATGGAAGGCAGGGAAATAATCTGGGAGAGTGCTGTTGTCTCTTGAGCTGGCATCACTAATGAAGAGAGTGATGAATCATGCGTGTTGACATTTCAGCTCTTACCAGCATTTGTTATTTATTTGTCATTTATGAAAATAACATATTTGTGACTGGAGGAGCATCTTCCTGGGCAGACTGGGAGCTCTGCAGAGTAAGGGCATGTTTGCTGTTAATTTTGCTGTTTGGCTGCGGAGGGATTTGTTGTAAGAGAGATGTAATTTCAGAATCTTGGGGCAACTTGTTGCTCATTAGTTGTTCGCTTGTACTTAATGAGAAAGAATGGAGTGGTATGTCCGGAGTGGAGGTCCTGGAGTAGATGAACGATCCTTTCTTGCACCACAAGTGGTTCCATTCATGGCGCCTCGTTTCACAGAAGTTACTGAAAAGTCATCTGATGAGCATTTGTGACGTTACTGTGCCGATCAAAGCGGAGCAAGCTCAAAGCTGTGTTTGTTCCTCGCTGTGCTGGAAGTGTATGCAAGTATCAAAAGGGTGTCTGACATTATCCCGGCCTTCCCAGAGCTTGGAAGAATGGAGACAAGCCTTCTTGCTGCTCTGTCCTGGAGTTCTTAATTTGTAAATTTGTGATCATTTCTTTTAGAGTAGGTTGCATGTGAAATAGCAGAGGTCTGCTTGTGTTTTGAAATGATTTGTCTTTACATCCAGATTTCCATATGTTCTGGTTCTCTGCCATTGGAATTATCTGACTTGGTTTCCAGAGATCAGATTTGCTGATTTCCCTTTGCAGATTTCCAGTGTGTAAAAGCTGAAGCTCGTATCACACCACTCATGAAATTCAGCTCACTAGTTGAACTACACCATATACCGTCATCTGCAGGGAATATTTTTAAGATTAAAATACAGAATAGCTTGACAGTTGAGGAAAAAATGCCAAATAACAATGAATAAGGTAAATGCATCGCTCTTCTCTGAGTTCCTCACTTTATTGGTGAATATTCAATTATTTTTGCTTACATCAGCTGTAATCGATAATTATGGTTGAATTGTAGTGATCTCATGATTTGTAACAATCTCATTAATGGAAGGAGGAAGTATTGTGGATAGGTGAATTGTTACTTGCAAGTCACACTGAATATTTGTTCTTAATTAAGAAGTGTGAGAAAACAGATGATTGATTTGTATTTTATGATGGGCCCTTCTTGTTTACTTACTTTCTTTTTAAATATGTTGGGTATTTATTTGATTTTACCCTTTCATGCCTGTACAATTTCCATGGCAGGTACAATAATATTTGACAGATAGCTGCTATTTTTCTGTATTCAGATTATTTAATGCATTTATAACGCAGTCAGTAGGAAACACCTCTGCTGCAATTTATGTTTTTTATATGCCTTAATAAGTAAGCCTTGTATATAGGTGTGAATGGTTTCCTCCTTTT